CCCCCCTTCCTCTTTTCTTTCTATTTTTCCTTCTCCTTTAAGCCATGGAATTTGGGCTAAGAATCAGATGGGATCCTGCTGAGTGGGTGTTGGGCTGGACCCAGGCTGCAGAACCTCCTAACAAAATCTCCAGTCCTAGGAGAAGGGGTTAGTAACTCCGTGGGTGGCACTGGCACTTCTTTACCCAAAGTGCTGCTCCCACACTTGAATAGCCCACCTTATTCCTAACGAAGTCATCTCTCTTTCTTAAGCTTCCTGTACCAGACACCTGGGTTTTATGCTCTGCATTCTGCTTGCTGCCTGTATTTGCTTTCTGTTTTTGGATAACTGCCTGGTGCTAGGCTGTTCTCTGTAGTAGAAAGCAATTGTGTTGTTGCATCGTACATGTGCAACTTTTGCTACAGAACCATGGAAACTTCATACTACCTCTTGCTTGCTAACACCAACACCTCGTAAGCTTGGGCCATTAAAGAATGCAGCAGTTTTATTCCACCACATGTGGCTTTTTCTTTCCAAATTCTGGAGTGCATACCTTAGGAAAAAAAAAATTTGACTGACTTAAGCCCACTGAACTTTTGGCCTCAGGTATGTGTTTCCCAGGGCAATGTGACTGATGCTCAACATATAACACTGTTTACAATGCATATATGTGAAACTACAACTTGTCTTGCAGAGAAAAATTACATGGGACCTTATTTCTTAGTTCTAAGGCACAACAACTGCTAGGCATTGATGTGGCAGAAACAGCTCCAGACAGTACTTGTGCTGACTTCTAACAAATATTTTGGCATTGTTCATGTATGTGTGCTCATGTAGTTTTCATGCTTATTACTTCCTTCAAAGTGTGGGGCTGGTTTACTTAGCAAGTGGCATAACAATGGAAATAGTGTGTTTCCAGCTCTGAACACACAAAACTCTTCTGCAAAGTGAGCTAGAGCAAAGGAAGAGAGAACCTCAGACACATGGAAGAGACTGGTGCCACTGTGACTCAAAAAAAAAAAAACAAAACACCAGTAAATAAAATATAAAACAAAAAAACTCACCACCACCACCTGCCCCACCCCCCCCCCAAAAAAAAAAAAAAAAAACAAACCAACAACCAAACAAATCCCCAGAAAGCACCACTGCCCTGGAAATGACTGAGAATTTGGCTTTAAATTACTTCAGATAGTTTGCAGAAATCTTTCTGTACATAAATAGAAGTAAACTAGTAAACATGTAGAGAAGCACAAGGCGTTATGAAGAACAGGGCTGACAAACAACGATGGCAGTGAGGGAGAATAATACTTCATACTGGTTCCTGCAGAAAGCCTGACAGGTCTAGTGCCCCTTCTGACTGAAGGGCTGGGTTGTAGTCTCTTCCCCACCCACCCACTCCATCCCTCTATTTCCCCCCACCCATATGATAAAAGACGAGAAGCGAGGGGGTTTGTTGGCCAAGGAAGGTACTTCAACCTAAGGAGCCTGGCACAGCTCTTTCTATGTTTCAGATGTGTAATTGTGCCTTGCCACTAATTGCTACAGCCCTTATCCAGTAAAAAAGCTGGATAAGCTTCTGAGAGCTGCCTTTGGTTTTTGCTTGGACGCTGAGGTGACAGTGCTAAAGAAATCTCCTTTCCCCCCCATTATTCGTTGTGGTATAAAAGCTATGGGAGACTTACCTCAAGGTAGAAGTCACCAGAGGCAGGCCCTGGCATTACCAAACTTGAACAAAGAATGTTTCGAAGCCTAATGTGAAGCCCATTGACTTGAAAATTTTGGTACAGTATGTCAAACTGGGAGGAAAAATGCTTCTCTTCCAAGAAGTTGTAATGGAGTCATCCATTTTCACAGGGAACTCTGACACCTTAATGCTAATTTTGTAGGGAAAGTGTTCTCCCCCTTTTTAGCAAGGGGAAACATAACCACAGGGAAGAAAAGGTGCCCAGTGTTTTCTGGAACTCACAAACTAAAACGCATTTTAAAAATCCTCTTTTCTGTGGGAAAACTGTTGTAGATAGAACTAGGCTAAAGTAAAGTGCACTGGGTTTGTGATAGGCCATAGTCAGGAGGTTTAAAGATGCTAACATCTGACTGCTTGTTATCAAATTATGAGGAACCCTGTAAGACTCCTAAATGTCTCTTCATAGCGACTGCTAACATGCTAAGATGGGAACTGCTTCAAAGGCGACTCTGTGAATTCCTGTGTCAGGTATGACACTTGTCTGGTGGCAGGAGAAAGGTAGGCTTGCACAGGAGGTGCTCTGGTGGACGGACATCCACAGCTGAGATGAACTGCAAGTAATTTAGCAGGATCTGATTTCTTGTTTTCCAACACGTGCGTAACTGTGGAGGCAGTAAACTGTATCTAATGATCTACGTGTTATTGTTTTCCTTCTTCAACTTTCTTGAAAAAATGGGCTAGGACTTGCAGGTGTGGTGTTGGTCTTCTCTGTAAACAATTGTTGATGGTATCAAACTGGGCTGAGGGAAGCTTTCCCTGAGTCCTTGGTGTGATTTGTCACCTGCAATCAGCCCTCTTTTCTGCAGACAGTCTTGAAAACAAATGTTCAAAATCTTATAATAAAATATTTCTCGGTATCCAGGTATTGGAATAGGCAGTGAAACAATTACCTTTGTGTCCCTCTGTGGAAACATGTTGGAAATTATGTAACTCTGGAGTACTTTGCTTTGAATAAAAATACTTTCTTCAAGTTTGGAAGGAGAAGGAGGGGGAGATGTGGGAGGACTTTTTTTTTGCCAACCAGCTCTAGTAAAGAACACTATAGCTCAGGATCAGAACAGTCTGGATTTAACACTCCAGAACAGTCTGGAGTAACAAGGTATTTATAAAGACAAACAGAAGAGCCTAAAAGGTATCCTGGGCTGTAACAGGGGCAGCAGAGGAGCGGCATCAGAACTGTGGAATAGCTGCATGTGAATAGAACTTGTGCATAAAAATCTGCAGAATTAAGGGCTGAAAGTAGCAAGGGGAAACAACTGCACAGTTTTCCTGATAGCTGAAAATAGTCCATATTGGATAAAATTCCGTTTTGTTCATAATTGGCAATAGTGTTCCTTCTTTTTTTTTTACCTTTTTTTTCCCTCTGCGTCTGCCTGCTTTGAACTACTTACCCATTGCAACAGTGCTGTGCAGAGTTAGAATCTGACTATGGTCTGCTGCCCACGTCAGCCGAGCCAGTAAAAGGGAAGGTAAGTGTGTTTGCTGTAATCATTGCTAAGCCTGTTAAAATGTAACAATAGTTTTGTTGTTGTTTTTTTTTTTTGTCATGACCTGAAGGAAATAAATAACTTTTGTGAGAAACTTTGCCGAATTAAACATTCAATAAAAATAATTTGAGATGCTTGATAAATTGCATTTTGAGAAGGATCAGAAACTGAAGATGGGGCTACATATTCCAATTTCTTTTCTGTTTTTCATTGCTTAAGTAACACTAGGTCAAATGCAGCTGCTTAAGTGTTGCTTCAGAAGCTTCCTCTAGCTGTCTTCGGATGACAGCTCTTCAGCAGTAAACAGCGAGCAAGTGGTGTGCGTTCAGAGACAGGGGATGGTGGGGCAGTGCTTTGTCTCCATCCAGCTGAGCTGGAGCTGCTTTCCTACTGAGGGAAATCTGACATGGGTAGCAAGTGGTGGACACTAGACAAATGTTCCCCTTCTCAGTCTGTTTGGTTGGCTTTGGCTGGAAGTTGGTTTGGTTTGGTTTTTTGTTTGTTTTTCGCAGGGTTGGTTTGGTCGGTCCTTTGGTTGGTTTTCTTTCAGCTCTCCTGTCCTGCTCATCTTGCCTGGTTTTGTAGCATCCAGTTCCAGACCTACCTTGAACCAACGTGTCTGTTGCAAATGTAAAGTTGAATTATTCTCCCTCTTCCTGTATCTGTTCTGCCCATTAAGGATGTGACATTTCTAGACTGAAAAACAGATGATGTATCTGTATAACCGTTAGTATTACATTATGCAGATGCAACTGTGTGTGGTGGGGGCGTTGGTGGCATTAATGTATTCAGTGTGATTGAACAACAGCAGCACTTTCTATTTTTCAATTAGCAGCTCCATTGCTCTGAACGACCGTGGAGCGAAGGACCCACGTTGTGTGCTGAAATTCCCAGGACACTGCCCTTGGATGCTTCATACTGGTGTAGTACACCTTTACTAGGTAAGACCTGGTAGTGATGGTCGGTTTTGTGTCTCTCCTGAAATACAAGAGTTGATAGGCGACATAGAACAGTATCACTGGTGCTGAATGTGCTGGTAGAGTGTGGAAAATCTATTGCTGGCTTTAGCCTGTTTTTGCGTGTAATCCAGGAGGCTGAGCCATGTTTATATTGTCTGTAATTAAGGGACTGCAAAGGTGGATGCTTGCCAGCCTAACAGGAGTTCCCAAAAGCTTAAGGAACTATTGTTGTAAATCATACATCCAGGTATAATCCTGACAAGATGCTTGCCAGTCTCGATGGAGAGGGCTTGAGTTACATTCTTCCCATTCACCCCGTTGACTGGCATTCAGTGAGACAGCAAGCCATGTCCTGCTACTTTGCTACTGAGCTGAAGTCAGACTTGGTTTAAAAACTCTGACGGGTAACATAACTGCTGAGAATCAAATAATTGTATCTGTTGATTTCTCCTGCATTCGTAAGGTGTTTGTACTTCCCTTCAACCTCCTTAAAAGCAACCACTGACAGATACCTGTTGCTGGGCCACAAAACAGCGGAATGCGTTTGGGATTTTATAGACAAAGCATTTCTTCTAGCAGTAAGCTGCTATAACATGAAGTCTCTTCCCATACAACTATAAAATACTCAAACATAATTCTATGCCATACTGGGGGAAATGGAAGAAAACCTTGCCTGACTGCACGTGCTCGTTATAAGAGTGCTCTGCTGCTCT